TATATATGTACTTATTCGATGCTTTGCATATAAACTATATCAAACGAGATATTGTTTTTTGGGATCTTTGCTTTACTATTTTTTTTACTATTTTATTTAAATATTTTGTGTAATATTTTATTTTGCATTAATCATTATACCTACCTTCTTTACTATAATAATAGTACACATATTGATGTGACAAAAATTCAGCTAGAGCTTGGCTAATTTAAATGTCAACATATTTGTACTATTATTATTTATTTAAAAGTTTAATTTGCAACGAAGTAATCGTATATCAAATTTATTGTCGTTTGACATCTTTACCCATTTTTGACAACGCAAAAAAAAAAAAAAAAAAAAAAAAAACACATTTCAACAACAACATCGTGGTTCCAACAGAAGGTAGAATCATTCCTTAGCCCATTGATCGACCAGTTCGCCAAAGAAGGCAAGGATAAAAAGGTTGTATTTGAAGCCAGATTCAGCAAACCTAACTGCAAGCCCAAATGGCTATTCCGTAAGGATGTAAGTATGAACTCTTTATCTATTGATAATTTTTAAATTATAATAGTAAACATACAATTTTTTTATACCAATTATAATTTAATTAAAACAACAACTAATTTTTGCGGGTTATTTGGAAATATACCTTGCAATTTGTTGACTAAAACGTGAATAAATAATATTATGTCGGTTTAAAGGTTAATATAATATTTTAATCCCTTGATAGGAGGTGTTTACAGGCAGTAAATTCAAATTCAAGCAGGAAAATGATACATATCAGTTGATCATAGCCGCACCCAAGGTAGAAGATACCGGAAAATACACAATTGAGATTGGAGGTGTGTCCAGTACAGCATTTCTCAATGTTGAGGAGGCAGATCCAACATATACATTTACAAAACCTCTGAAAAAGAAAATTGAAGGATTTACTGAACATGAAACGACTCTGGAATGTGCTGTTAGCAGTAGCATGGCGAATGTTCACTGGTTTAAGGACAATAAGAAGATTGAATCTGATGATCCACGTTTCTTGATCTCCAAAGATATTAATGGCAATCTGAAGTTGATTATCAAAGATTCCTTATTGGAAGACAGCGGTCAATATAGATGTCAATTAGACAAGCAGCCAGATAAAACTGAAACTACATTAAAGATAGTCGAGTATCCATATAAATTCGTTAAAGTTCTCAAATCGCAGCAATGTATTGAAAAGGACACAATCACTTTAGCCTGCGAAATCGATGATGCACAAGGTGAAGTGCAGTGGTTCCGCAACAACGAGGAAATCAAGCCAGATAAGCGAATTCAAATCCTCAAGGATGGTCGCAAACGAAAACTGGTTATCAAGGATTGTAAGGTAACTGATGCCGGTCAGTTCAAGTGTACAACTAATGCTGATAAGACTGAGGCAGAGATAATCATTAATTGTAAGTAAGAGCTTTGTAAATCCTATTATTATACAATCATACCTGTCTGTTCGAGAAACAAGTCTAACGAACTCCATTTTAGATCAAAACCGATTCAATAAGAAACTCAAAGACACCGATGCCGTTGAACGAGAGAAACTAGTGCTGGATGTTGAGCTACAAGATCAGACTGCTCCATGCGACTGGAAGTTCAATGGCGAGCCAATAGTTCCAAATGAGCGCATTGAAGTTAAAAACTTAGGCGGAGGCAAGCACCAGCTAGTTTTCAATAATCTAGAGCTATCCGATGCTGGCGAAATTACYTGTGAGTCCGGTCAACTCAACTCAACGTGTAAACTATCTGTGCGACAGGGTGAGAGCCGCCCCAATATTGACTGTCCGGATAAGTTTGCTGGACCAATAAGTGCGCCTGTTATTGTTGAGGTACCATTCAAAGGTAAATGAAATTATATCAATGAAGCTAATACCAACAAAAATTGATAAGAAAGACGAAATATGTTAAATATTTTGTTGCAAAGTTTAAGTTTAAGTTTTAATTTCCGCATTAATTGCTTAAATGCAAAAGTTAATTGTTTCAATGATTGGTCGAGCTATGGGTAGTGTAGACGGGAAAAATTTAGATATTGAAAGGAGCGTAATTCCCAAAGCGCAGAAGTACAAGCCGTAACAAAATGATGACACTACTCCCATTCTTCGTAATTGCTAATATTATCTAATTTTAATACCATTACTAATGCTTGTATACATTAAAGGGCTATCTATTTTTATACCCTGAACTAGAGGTGGGCACGGGCCGGGTTTTTATCGGATACCCGTGGGCACTCGCGGTTACCCGTGGGTAGGGACACGATATCGAATGCAAAGTATCGATCATGTACTCATAAGAAGCATCAAAAGAAAAGCATCGTACTTATAAAAATATCAAATCAAAAGCATCGATGTTGCAAGGTATTGGGTATTTATATTTGGATGAAATGTTTATTGAATCTAGGATATATTTCATGTTTTTTTAAATTAAAAAGTAAAAGTTACAAGTAAATTTTCAATTATTACATAGTACAATGAAGTTATGTTAAGTTATATATTCCTCCTCTACACAATCGCCTACAAAAAGAAATTTGTCAAGCCTTTTGGGTGACAGTCGGCTGCGAGTTTTGGTTATGGTACTTCCAGCTTTGGAGAAAAGGCGCT